AAAAGTAGGCAATGTAAGAAATATTTAAACACTATTTGTAGCTCCTGGTTACCTTACTCTTGAAAAACAAGGCTGTTGTAGTATTTTATCTAACCAATTTTAAAGAGGTGAATGCCACTCTGTAATGAAATTAAGGACTGAAAATGGTTGCATTCGAGCAACCGTTCTGCAATTTCGGTTTTCTCCATGCATTTTATTTTGAACCCCCAGGGCAACAGATTTTAAGAAAAAGCTGAGGAATAATATGACCTTAATTCGATTGTATTAGAACACACACATACTATGTCTGAGGTCGACCAGCTTCCTGATCAGGGCTTGACATGAAGCTTTTTTGCTCACCAGTCACTGTGGTTAGTGGTTTCCCAGAGTGAATAGCCACTCAGCATGCTCTCAAGCCACGAATGTTGTTGTTGGATAATTATATTTATCCATCCATCTATTAGCTGATCCGTTTATCCTAATGAGGGCCACGGGTGTGCTGGAGCCTATTCCAGCTGTCACTCTGACTTTTGACATCGGGGTTTTGGATGCATGGATGTTAAAAGCTGTCTATGCTTCGTTAAATTTACTTAAACTACGTAGATTTACAACTTTCTGTATGTAAATGTAAATGACCCCTGTACATATTCAAATCAAGACCACATATCTGACCTGCCATATCATGAAAATCAGTTTTTTTACTTCCTGGTAGGCTGCTACATCAGCACTTCCAAATATAGGGACCCTGGAAACCGCTAATTTCGCTTTGTCGCACAACTCCTCCATAGCGACTGAGTGCCGTGTGAAAAGAGCTTTAATGAAAGGCAGCTCACCCACAGTGAAGGTTGGTAGGCTGGTTAACAATGTGATGAAAGAAGTGAAGCCGTTTGAAGTAGCTCACTGTGGAACGCGGTGGCATCCAAAGGCCTATTTTAGGGAGACAATGTTCTGAAGCCCCCCTAAATGATTTGTTTGCATTATATCTTTTCCCCACAGAAAAAAGTCAATATAAATATCCAGAAAATGATATCAAATAAATGTTCACTTAACCCTTTCCTGCGCAAATAATGATAACCTGCAACCTGATGAGCTGTCTACTGTAGCGACCATTGTCACTGAAAGAGTTAACCTATCATTATTCATGTAAATATAATCATAAATCTATGGGTTTCCTTTTGCTAGTAAAAGGTATACAGCCTTGTCATGTATCATTATTGAGTACATCCCATTTAATCCTGTAGAACACCGGACCGCCTGTAAATAAATGTAAAAGGATAATGTCGCGCACGATTATCATTCTTAACCACTGAAAGCTGTTATATTCTGCCAAATGAATGACTTTGAAGAGCTCCAAATAAATGAAATGTTCACTGTGGTCTCAATGAGACAATTTTAATACTTGTAACAACACAAATTAAGTTAGATGTCCAGGCTTTAAATAACCAAACACTTTAAACAAATAAATAAATACATAACATTGTACTCTCCAGAGACGCTATTGCAGAATGTCTTACCTGTCTGTGTTGCCTAAATTGTTCTCTCATACATAACTACTGTGAAATTGCCCCACCAACCCCCTCAAAAAAATCCGGATTGAAAAAGAGCCACTCGACAAAGCAGTGTCGGTTGAAATCGTATCAAAGTCCAGTTATTTTTGAAAGGTGCGCTGTGAAAGTCAATTTTCAATCACTGTCCGATATCATCCTCCATCGTAAATCAAGCTTTGGCCAACCAATGAGAGGACAGATAAACTCACTTGCCACAGGGCTTGTGGGAAGTCTTTCTGTTGGTTATGCTCCAATCTGATTGGCTAAAAGAACAACCAGCGATTTCAGGGTGATTGTGCGTGTGCTCGACCCCTGCACTCGAGGTCCTGAAAGTGCTGGAAAAAATATGGCCATGGCAACACATCCCAAAAAATCTGAATGGACCTTAAAAAAAATAATTAAACAAAAAACACAGAAGACTTGAAGTTGCGCGACCAAGAAATACGCAATGAAATGAAGACAAAAGACCGTTGGAAATAAATGGTTTCCACTTCATCTCAGTTGTAAATGGAGGTCTGTCTTTCTGATAGTGTTTGCATCTGCAGAGAAGGCCTTGATGGCTCACAGGGAAACCCCACTGAAATAACCCATTCAGAAATTCTCCCTTTATAATTTTGCACTTTCATATGCACTTGGCAAAGAATAATTTAGAAAATGTGAATCCAAGCGGACAAGAGCGACTTCTGAACATGAGCAGAAGGTCTAGAAAATATCGCTTGAGGGAAAACAGCGAGCAAGGTCAATAATCCGACAAAAGCTTGGCATCTTGGCAGTCTTTACTTATGCCCACAGTTGGCTTAAGCAACAAGTGCGTCTGCCGGAGGGAAACACCCTTCACTCCAGCTGGAGCTGAAACAAAACAAACACACACAGGACATGACATAGAATTGGGCTGGCTAAAGGAAATGTGCGAAAGTGTGTGAATGTGGCAGCGGTACATGGTAGGAACAAATGAGAACATGTGGGAGAATATTAGTCTAGTGGGGGGGTCAGCAACCCGCGGCTCCAGAGCTGCATGCGGCTCTTTAGCGCCGCCCTAGTGGCTCCTTGGAGCTTTTTTCAAAAATGTTCGAAAATGGAAAAAGATGTGGGAAGGCAAATATATATTTTTCGTCTTAATAGGGTTTCTGTAGGAGGAAAAACATGACAGAAAAATTCTTAACGTTTTCCAATGCTGTAAAAATGTGTAGAATAAATATTAAATTTCGACATTTCTGTCAACGAAGATTCGCATCATTGCCTGCGACATATTTCTATTCACAGAGCGGGATGTCAGGCAGGTGTCTGTTGCAGAAAAAAAAAAAAAAACAGCATTTCATGTACAATTCACTGAGGGCACTGGCAAAGAATGAGTTAGTGGAGGGCAGAGAGAAGCATTTAAAAACGGTACACGTGAGCTACGATAGTGAACACGCTGCAAAACTGTGTCCCATGCGGGTTGGTCGGGGTAGGTTGGTTGATCGAAAAGTAGATCTTCGGTCAAAAAAGGTTGGGCGCCCCGCTCTACAGGATGCAGTGCAGGGAAGAAAAAAAAAAACATTTAATCATGAAGGCTCATTGCATATTTGTAGCCAATTTAGTCATTTTGATAGTAGGCTAACATAGCTCACATAGATACATACAGCATGTGTTTCCTTCATTATAAGGCCTTTATTTATTTATTTTGCGGTGCCAGACAGATTTGTTTTAGGGTTTTGTCCCATGCGGGTTGGTCGGGGTAGGTTGGTTGAGCGAAAAGTAGATCTTCGGTCAAAAAACGTTGGGTTTGTTTTAGGGTTGGTTTTTTTTGGTCCTATATGGCTCTTTCAACATTTTGGGTTGTCAACCCCTGGTCTAGTGGAAAATGAGTGCAAAAATTAACATCACTGCAGTGCAGCACCATCGACAGAGGGACAATGGACAATGGGCGGAGGCAGCCCAGGCCGTGGTGTGAAATCCACGTGTCCACTTGGCTACGATCGGGTGATTGCATACAGCATGTGTTTCCTTCATTATAAGGCTTTTATTTATTTATTTTGCGGCGCCAGACAGATTTGTTTTGGGGTTGTTTTTTTTAAGCAGGAACGGATAACACTGCAGTTTGTGTGGATTGGCAGTGGTTTGTATTCACACCTGAAGTGCACCGCGTCTAGTGGAAAATGAGTGCAAAAATTAACATCACTGCAGTGCAGCACCATCGACAGAGTGACAATGGACAATGGGCGGAGGCAGCCCAGGGCGTGGTGTGAAATCCAGGTGTCCACTTGGCTATGATCGGGTGATTCAAGCAGGAACGGATAACACTGCAGTTTGTGTGGATTCGCAGTGGTTTGTATTCACACCTGAAGTGAACCGTGGCTGAGTCCACTTGGAAGCGAACCGAGACCACCTCAAAAAGTGAGTCTCTGTCCTGCAAAAAAGGGCCTAGACCAGTGTGGGAAATGCATCCTGATCAATTTAGAGTGGACAACACAGCAAAGGCATGAACACACCTTAAGACATTTAAAATAATTTGCATTCTTTCTCATTTTTAGTTCTCAGTTTGCAACATTTGTTCAATACATACTCTCATCTTTTCCCAGCTGTGAAGTGAGCAGCCGGAGTGACTTGGATGATGTTTTATCCTGATCAGCGCAGTGTACTGTCGACACTGAAGGTGGATCATTAGATTGCCCCCTCTATGGGAAGAGGTTGTGCAAGGTTTGTAAGCTACTACTGCAGAGGTGCCCAACCTTTTTTGACCGAAGATTTACTTTTCGATCAACCAACCTCCTGCGATTGGCCCGTTACCCCGCACGCGCGCATACGCATGCACTTGCACATACACTTGCACATGCATGCCATTTATGAAAAGGATTTCCTGCCTACCTTAGTGGGTGACCTGACACGGAGGCATGTGACGCACTTTTGCAGCGTGTTAACGATCGTAGCTCACGCGTACTGTTTTAAAATGCTTCTCTCGGCCCTCCAGATTCCCATTCTTTGCAAGTGCCATCGGTGAATTGTACACAAAATGAACTTTGACTGATAATAACAATAATAATAATAATAATAATAATAAAAACTGATCGCAAGCTGCAATTGCAGACTGCTGAGCGCTAACAACTTCCGGTGATGCAGGCCACGTGCTACCGTCGATTAAAGGTGGCCTGCTTTATTTCATTTTTGAAATACTTTTTGTGAAAGTGAGACTGATCGGATGATAAGGGTGCAGTGTGCGTTGAAACAAAAATATATTACAAACATGCACGGAGA